ACCTCCTCTCCATCCCTCAGTCCCTGCCCCAGAATCTGTTTCCTGGACCCTCAGTCCCCAGCTCATCCTCTCCAGTTTGCCCCTGTGGCCACAGAGAGATATTTCTAATACCCACATCTGACCTGTCCCTTGCTTGCTCAAACACCCCTCATGGCTCCCCATTGCCCTCCTATGTTAGTCATGAATCTCCACTCAAGAAAGAACTTGCCATCCAGCTGCAAGGAATAAAGTCAGCTTCCCACCTTCAGCTATAGAGCCTTCAGTCTCTGTCGCAGCATTCAAGCCAAGGCCACACTTTCCTGGGCAGCCCTCAGCCATGACTGAGCATAGTCACTCACTGGTGCCTGATCATTTCTGCCCAATGTCTGACTCCCTGAATGGCAGCATCCCTGCCCACTTTTATCTTTGACTGAATATCAGTTTCCCAAAGGACTTGAGTTGACACGCCCCAGGTTAAAGTCCAAATTTTTGACACGGTTTCCAAAACATTCCAAGAGAGGCTTTTATTACCCACTCCAGTCTCATCAGGAGCTCCTTCTCTTTCTCACACATGGATTTAGCCACTATTATTTCCCCTCACCCCCAAACATGCCAGGCTCTCATGCATGCTTCCATCTTGGTCTTTGCACAGCTGTCCCGTTGACCTGGAGCACTGTCCAGTACCACACCCAATGTGACAAATTTGTATTCACTGTTCACTACCTAGCCTCGCCTCCTTTTTTTTCTGCCCCAATTTTGCCCATTTAGGATTAAAATGGGACTGAACACTGAGTTGGGAAAGGGCAGGCAGTGTGGAAGTTCTTAGTGAATGAAGAGATGGGTCACTTCTACCCACTAAGATCTTTGTGCATCCTTGGGATAAAGTGGGAATTAAAGAGAAGAGCAAAACACTATGGCAGTTGAAGATCTTGGCTGGAAAATGCACCTTTAGGCAGGAAAGCAAAGGAATGGGAGAGAAGATTGCTTACTGAGTATGTGCTGGGTGGCATCTGCTCTACACACATTGCCGCTAATTCTCCAAGCAGCCCTGTGGAATACAGATTCCCACCCACCCCCCTTCTATAAAAGAGAAAAGTGGTTCAAAAAAAGAGAATTACTTTCACTAATGTCACATAGCAAGTTAGCGGGGCAATAAATATGGACTCCGAGATATTTCTGCCCCAGAAGCCTATGACCTTTCCCTTGTTAGCCGGCTGGTTACCAGGCCCTGCTTCTGGGCTCTGATGATATTCCCACTAAGCCATATGGGCATAATCCATAACAACATCTTCCCTCCTCCGCACCTGGGGAGCAGGGACAATGAGAGAGGCTCAGGAACAGGCCATGAGGACCTAACTCACCACTCGATCTCTTTAGGCTCGCGGTCCCTCAGGAGCTCTCGCACCTCCTGCCGGCAGCGCTCCTGGTATTCTGGGTGCCTTGCAAGGTTGTACAGGATCCAAGACAGTCCACTGGCCGTGGTGTCATGACCTGAAGGTCAGCCAGGCAGATTTAGGTCTCTAAGCTGTTTCAGCACCAGAGAGGGGGACAGCGCCCCTAGATGGTGCGGGGCGGGGGGCGGGATATGGGCAGAATGGAGTGATCCAGGGCCCACCAGCCACATTCCTGGGATGGAGAGACCCCTGTCCCCACTGTAATCCCACAGTAGGACTCTCACCCCCAAACATGAAGGTATCAGCCTCTGCTCGTATGTCCTCATCTGACAACTCCTTCCCATCTTCATCCTGGAGACAAGGCAAGACCTCCATAATTACACCAGCTCTGAGGGCACTGAAGTCGAATTAAATATAGTCCCTGGAGACCCATCTTCCAACCAAGGATCGCTCCCCTGTTGTCTCCAGAGACTTCCTCACAGGCTTCCTCCATGGTCTCCTATCTCCTTTTAAGGAGATTTGCTCCTCTCAGGCAGATTTCTATGAAGTCACCTCTGAAACTTATCTCTGACTTGTCCCTTCCTTCCTCAAGCACCTTCCATGGCTCCACAGTGCCCTCTGGATCAAGTCCAAGTTCTTCCATCTGACAATTGGCATCGAGGTCCATTCTACCTCTTGAATTTACACCCCCAAGAAGCTCACCTTGGTCAGCAGGAGCACATCAATGAAGTCCAAAGTCTTGGACTTGGCTTTGGCCCTGAGGAAGTCATCAATACCCTGGCTCATGAGGGTGCGGCGTCTTTCACGAACGATGGTGTCCGTGAAGTTGTGCACGTGGTCACAGGCCCTGCGGAAGCGACGGCCATCAGGAGTGAGGTGGTACAGGAAGTCCGTGTGCAGGAAGATCTGCTGGTGCCGTTTCACTATGAGGGCGCTGAGATCCAAGATGGCGGCAATATATTCACTGGGACTCCTGCAGAACCAGCCCAGGGAGAGGACGTAGCTTCTTAACACGCATGAAACCCTGGGAGCACCTCCCAGCCAGAATCCCAGAACCACATTCCACCCAGAAAAGGGTGCCCTCCAACCACACTTCCCCCTCTTACTCCCACTCTCTGTGAGCTTCCTCATGCCCCAGGTTTCCAGGGAAAAACTTGGCCATCAAGGTCATCCCCTCTCTCTCTCTTATTCAGCATCTGGTCCTGCCCATTCCTCTTGCTCTTGGTTTCTCTAAAATTTGCCCAATTTTTTCCACCAAGCTCAGACCTCCTCCTCTTCATGGTCTCCTTGCACCCTGAGTCTACAAGACAGTCCGTCCTCTATGGAGTCAAATATCCAAGCTCTGACCATAACCATCTGCTCAAACACCTTCCATGGCTCCCTGGGAACCTCAGGATAAAGTTCACATCCTTGTCAAGCCTATTCAGCGTTCTTAAGATCCAACTACTGCCTGTTGCACACACTCTGCTCATCCTAGCCTTCCTTCCTGCCTTTACTCAAACAATCCCACCTTCCTGGAAGAACTGCTCTTTCTCTCTGCCCTACCCTGTCCTTCAGTGCCCAGATCTCACCCACATCCTCTAGGAAGGCTCTTCTGGTTGCCCTGCTCAGTCCTCCCTCCCACCCCCACTCCCGTGGGTCCATGACCCAAGTTCCCAGGCACTGGGCAAGGACTCACTCCTGACAATTACTGTCGAAGCTGAAGACACATTTCTGGAGACTGTCCAGGGTCATGAGGCTGATGTGCTCAAACATGTCCAGACGGGTGATGCCCTCTGAGACCAGGCGCTGCCACTTGGCCTGGCAGAGAAGGGGACAGAGCTGAGACTGAGACCTCCTCAACCCCTCCCCACCCAACCACCAGGATGGACTCCCAAGGAAACCAGTCACCAGGACTTCTGCCCCAGGCATCCATCCCCAGGTAGGATCAGGTTGGTGGAAGAGGAAAATGTTACTATTAAGAGACGAAGACCTAAGGCTGAGAGTCAGGAGACCTGGGTTCAAGTCCCAGCTCTGCGTCCTCTGCTCTGTGTGCCCTTGGCCAACTCATTGCCCTCCCCTGGGTCTCACCTGTCAAATCTTCAGTAACAGTAAGATAACCTGCTTTGGTGTAAGATAAGCCATAACCCTTGCTTCACCACTCCTAGCTCACTTAATAGCTGGGTAATCTTGGCAAAGCTTCCCAACCTCTCTGACCCTCAGTTTCATCATCTGTAATGTGGCAATCATAATCATTTATACCTCATAGAGTTGTGAGAATTACATTAGACAACATGTGTCATGGAATTGTCATATAGCTTCTCGTATGCAATAAGTTCTCAACAAGTGTTGGATATCATTATCATTTTCATTATTAGAACAGTAGTAGATGATTGTGGAAATGTCCCCAACTCTTCATCCCTCCCTATATCCTCACCCTTTGCAATGAGACTTTGAAGCTCCTTCCATTGGGAGTGAAGCCTGTTTTCCCACCTCTTGAATCTCAGTGGCCTTGGGACTTGCTTCAACCAGTAGAAGAAGGTGGGATTGTGGTGTGCTAGTTCTGGACCTATGCTTCAAGGGTTACTGAATGTTTCTGTGCACTCTCTGGCAGCCAGCCTCTACCACATGAACAAGACTAGGCTAGCCTACTGGAGAATAAGAGACAAGTGAAGGGGTCCAGTTGACCCACCAAGATCATCCTAGGCCATCCTACAGCCAGCCCCAAACACGAGAGAGCTGAGCCTGGATTAGCAGATCATTCTACCAAACCCACCTATGACCACAGACACATGAGTGAGCAGAAGGACCCAACTGACCCATCTTCTCATGAACATTAACAAACACTAATTATTTCAAGCCAGTGAGTTTTTAAAGTGGTTTTCTATGCAGAGAGACCTATTATGCAAGGTGCATCATGATCCATACTCAACAGCTTACAAGGCTTCTGGGAACCTGAACCCTCAGCATTATTGTTATCCACACCATGCTCTACCAACAACTTACAAGGCTTCTGTGAGGAATACTGGAAACTAACATCTGAGCATCTATGTGCCAGGGACATGACTCATTACATCATTTTGACCACCCTTCAAAGTGAGGAAACTGAGGCTCAGAGAGGAAGAGCAATAACCCCAAAACCAACCAACAGATCCAGGACTCCAGACTAGATCTGTCCGAGGCCCCTTTGCCCCCAAGACTCCAGCTGGGACCCTGGGTTCACTCGACTCACGTGCATGACGTTCACACTGTGGTTGAAAATCTTCACATAGGGCTTCAGGATGTTGAAGTGGAAGGCGGGTGTCAGCAGGCGGCGGTGGTGGCTCCACTTGTCACCAGCACTCAGCAGCAGCCCATCCCCTAGTGGGGCAGCCGTGGCAGTGGGCAAAGGCATCACCTTCCCCTGGTCCCCCAACGTTGACACCAACCCCATTCACCTGCAGTTACTCACCCAGCCAGGGTTTCAAGAAGCCGTAGAAGACCTTGTCCTTGTATACGATGGTGGCTGGCATAAGAGATGGACCATCAGAGACCATAGAGAGGGAGAATGTTGGGACTTAACTAATGAAGGGCGGGTTTCCAACCAGGGATCTCCCTTCCTTACCCTGCCTGGCATAGCACAAATGGAGTCAAAGGTACAGGAAACAAGGGGGGGAGATGGGAAGCAAGGGGTTCCCTCGCCAGACTGCAGCAGCAGGAATAGGGTGAAGACAAAGAACAAAGAAATACCACAGCATACTTGGACACATTCTAACTCAGCACCACACACCCCAGCATACCTGAAAACATCTCCTGCATAGTCCAACACTCTCTGAAACACCCAAAAGCAGCCCGACACTCTAAAAAACACCACTATATGGACCAAGGATGCCTCATAAGCCCAAACTGCTCTAATTTGTTTAGACATGGACCTGAGATGTGTTCATATGGCCATAACAGATATGGCATACCCTAACATGTCCATAACATGAAAAGTCATGCTCTGACATGGACCCAAGATGGTCTGACGCGATCTTCACCTGCCCTACAGATGAACCTCAGACAGGATTTAAATATGCTCCCATTAATATCCCAGATGTGACCCAGGTGTGACCCATGCTGGACCCTGATATAACTTAGATGTACACTAAGACCTGCCTTTGACAACACTCAAATAAGGTCTCAGGTATTTCTCAGAGGAACCCTAAATCCTAGACCTCAAACAAGCCCAAACATGGCCCAGATGTGACCAGCAGGAGAAAAGGACAACCTCAAACAGCAACTCAGACAAGAACCAGACAGGCCCTAATATGCCCCAAATGTCTTTGGCCACAGCAGAGCCCCACACATGACCATCTCCGTAAGATCCCAGGTGTAAATCAGGTGTAACCAGGTGTAGCACATGGCAGGTGTAACCAGGACCCAAGGTGTAAATGTAAATGTGACAAGATGCAGCCACATAGCAGATGTCACACAGACCCACCCCAGACGTGAGCAGACCCTAACCCTAACCTGACAAAGATTAGACAGGTCAAGACCAAGTGAAGCAGGAGCAGTGACATCACCACAGTCCCTCTGTCTGCACTGGGGTCTGCATCCAACTAGCAGAGGCAGCACAGAGACCATTGCAGCAGGCAAGCTGTGGCCAGTGCATGTCTACTTGGAGCAAAGAGAACGGGCTTGATGGAGGTGGGGTAGAAAATGTGGACGACTGTGTGCCAGGGCCCCACCCTTCAGCAGCACACACCCCAAAGGTATTCGTCAGGCCTTGTGTGTACAAGAAACCTTCCTCTGAGCTTCAAATCAGGAGAAAAACAAAGAGGACCCAGTTCATGCTCTTCTAGGCTGCCAGACAGAAGGACCTGCAGGGCAGAGACCCAGACCCGGGCCCTGGGAATTCCAGGCAGCTCTTCATCCTCTCCGTGCTGAGCCTGCCCCCGGGCTCCCTCCCACATCCTTGATACACAACTATCTAGGTCCCTTACTTACAAGGACGGAAATGTTATTTCCCCATTTGGATCCCAACACCATGTTCACCTGGGTTCTTTTCCACTCCATTTTCCAGACTGAGGCTCTGACCAATGAAATCAATTGCCCATAGTCTACCAGATAGTAAGTCACATGCCTGAGATCCAAGCCCAGGTCTGTTTGAATCCAGGGCCTGAGTTCTAAAACCTTGAACTGATTTGTGCCCCCAACGCAACAGCTCTTAGGAGCCCTATGCCTGCCAAGACTAGGCAATCAGAGTCATAGTAACTGCATGAGGAATTTTGCCTGTGACCCAGGCCTGGCAAATTTAAGGGAATCCTGGTACTATAAGAAATTTTCCATGGGGGTTGAGCTTCTGGGACTCATCTTTACCATCATAAGAGTGAAGCTCCCCCAGAGGGAAACAGAACTAAGAGAAGAAGACAGATTCTTGATGAAATTGTCTGAAGACCTGGATCCCACCATGCCTGAAGACCACCCTCCCCCCTGGATTTTACAGTCAACAAATTCTCTTTCTTGGCTTAGACCACATGAGTTTGAGTTTCCACCATTAACAAGAAAGAGGCCCTAGCAACCAGACAAAGCCAGGGAACTGCCCTGAATCACCCAGCATTCTGGTGTCAGAGCCATGGCCTCTGTATGACACCACCCCTCCCCCTGGTCAGCATGGATTTTCTGAGGATGGGAAGAGCAGAGGACAAGGGAAGAGTGCTGGGCTGGGGTGTGGTCTCCTACTGTAGATTTCTGGGGCCTGGACTAGGGGGCAATGAACATACAGTAGACAAGCTACAAAATGGGGTAGAAGGAACTGACCTGGTAGAGGTGAATGTCACAGAAATCCACCAGCCACAAGCCCTCCTCATTGCTCTCCTCATTGGGCCTGAGGACAGACAAGGCTGACACCAGGCCTGGCTGGGGGCCTTAGATGCTGCCAATACCCATCACCTTATACTGTGATGTTTTTAAAGTTTCTATTCATCATTCCAGACCCCACTCTGGCAACAACTCCTCCGGGAAGCCCTCCAGCTTGCCCTAGCCTGCCCCAGCAGAGGCTTTGTTTCACTTCTGAGATGTCACAGCCCGTCTTCCTCTGCTCAGTTCTTTGGCACATGAGGTTGTCTCTGTCCAGATCCATCTCCTCAAAATTGGGGGTTCATCTAGGACAGGGCCTTGGATTGTGGCCAGTTGGGACCCCAGTGGTGCTCAGAACACCAGGACATGGAAAAAGGAGACATTGAGATGGGGGTTGGTGAATACATGAAAGAAAGAGGAAGATGGCTGACAGAGGAGAGGGAAGGAGGGCCGGGGTCCTGCAGGGACTGCACAGAAGTTGAGGGTGAACGGACTAAAGGCCCTTCAGTGTGCCACAGCACCCACCACCACAAGCTCCACATGCATACCTGAAGCATTAATGACAGGCCGGACATTGTCAGGGTGGCACAAAGTAATGAGGGGGAAGGTTGGCCCCAGCCACCTCTTAAATCCCTGGGGGTAGTTGGCCACCAGTTGAGCCACTTTCTTCAAGCCCTCCTCCGTGTAGTTGATCTGCAAGCAAGGCAGGGTGGTCACCTCCTGGGATGATTCATTGCAAGTGCCAACTTGACCAGGCTATGGATGCCCAGATAGCTGGGAAAGCATTATTTCTGGGTGTGTCTCTGAGGGGGTTTCCAGCAGAGATTAGCATTTGAATCTGTAGACTGGGTAAGGAAGATTCACCCTCCCCAGTGGAGTTGGGCATCACCCAATCCCTTGAGGGCCCAGATAGAACAAAAAGGCAGAGGAAGGGTGAATATGCTCTCTCTCTCTGGAGCTGGGACATCCATCTTTTCTTGTCCTAGGACAGCAGAACTCCAGGCTCTCAGGGCTTTGGACTCACAATAGATTATACCACTGGCTTCCCGGTCTCTCCAGCTTGCAGATGGCATGTTGTGGGACTGCCTGGCCTCTGTAATCGTGCACCAATGCCCATAATAAATACCCTCATATCTCTAGATAGATAGCTAGATATAGATATAGATACAGATATATATCATATTGATTTTAAGTCTCTAGAAAACTCTGACTAATACACCTCTCCAGAAAGAACCACAGCAGGTCCCTGCTGTCCCTTTAGGAGCTGGCACAGCCTCTGCAGTAAACAGTGTGTCTGAATTTTGCATAGATGGAGGGAATCTCTGTTTCCTCCTGTTCCTTTCCTCTTGGGGCCATCTCCAGGTTCCAAGGGTGCATCCCAGGACAGAGGGAGAAGACACACTCTCTGCCCACACAGAGGCCCACCTTGGCTCAAGAACATGGATTTTCTCATCCTGGGAGTAGTTCTAGCCCAGGGGCAGCCACAGTGGGTCGCTGAGCAGGGATGGTTTACAGGTAGCAATATGACCTCAGGACTCCAGCATCAGGGCTGATTTTCTACATCTTCCCAGGACCTGACCAGTCTGCCTAGACTCCAGTTTCTTCACCCAAGAATGAAGCATCTTCAGAACCAGGACCTTTTTTGGGCCAGCCTTGGAAAACCCAGGGGAGCAGACCAAAATGTGAGCTTAGCTTAATTTGGGCCTCAGCAAATCCCACAGGGAGTTCTGATGAATCGATATCATCACAAGGATGTGCCTCAATTGGAGATTAACTTCAGCCTGAGGCCACAGGAAGGTCCGGACTATGACTAGTACAACAAGGATGTGGGCTCAGCTGATGTCTGGCCACAACATGATCCCTTGGGGCCCCAGAGCATGGATTGCACCACAGAGTTGCATCACTAGGAACCACAGGCACTGGGCTGTTGCTTTCCCACCGAGTGAGTTGCTGGCTGCAGCAGCCCAGCCCACCCCAGGAGTGAGGACTCAGCCCCCCAGATGTCTCTGGGCAAGCTCCCATCTCTGGCAGCTCTCATGAGCTGAGGGAAAGTCCCAGAATGAGGGGACAGCGGTGGCTCACTGTGGCCACACTCACAACAGCCTAGAGAGAAGTGCCCCAGCCTGGGAGGGCTCTGGGCAGGACACGTGGAAAGAGATGGAGATAGAGACACAGAGAGCCAGAAATAGAGGAAGGGGACATAAGTGAGAGAGGCAGAGGCAGAGAGACAGAAAGAGACAGAGACAGACAGAAGGTGGAAGACAGACCTGACAATGCTCTTCTCTAGACACCTTCCTCCTGGCTCCCAGGACAGTCCCATCTCTCGGTTTCCCTCCCAC